CAAGCACAGTGGGACCGACAGCGCGAGATGCAGCTGAACGCTATCAACGTCCGTTCTAAGGAAAAGCGTGCGCGGCTTGAGGTTCTATTAAAGCTTGAAGAGGACCTTCTGGAAGCCCGGTAATTCATCTCTTTATTATTCATGAAACATTGTACTTTCCAATTGCATACTAACTCCAAACGGGTACAGTCAGCAGATGCGGGACATTGATGCAGCTCATGTACCTGTGCGAACCGCCCAGCAACGCAATGATCTTCTTGCGCTTCCAAGGACGCTCGCCGATCTTGAACAAAAGATTCAAGAGGTAGCTGATGAGGTCGGAAATACAGAGTTACTCAATGTGCGCGGGAACGTACCCAGACGAGGAGGTAGGTAGCTTACATTCGACTCTTTCCCGTACCGGCTAGCTGAATATTCTAACCTGCATGAAAATTGTGAGCAGATGACCGACTTAAGGCTGTCTTGACGGTCCAGGTTGCTTTGGGTTTTTTGTATGAGGCGAAATTTGGTGCCGATCAACACCAAGTGGATGCAGGGCGGAGGACGAGTACGTACAATCATTATCCTCATGAGAAGGCGAAAGTTGTTGACGTCTGGCCATTTTTCGGCTCCTAAGGTGCGACTCAGCAGCCAAGAAATGAGCAACTACGGTTGAAGAAACGGGCTCTTTTAAAGAAGAAACTTAATACTTACTTGAGACATGCGGGCCGCTACAATGAACGATTTCGACCAGGACAACCATTGCATGAGCCAACTTTCGACGAGGTTGTTGCTATGGACATGCTACATCCATTCTGGGACGAAGTTGCTATGAATCACCCCGAGGAGCCTTGGGCATATTGCAAGATTACCAAAGATGGCATCTTAGCTCTTCGGAATGCGATATTGTCTGAAGAGGAGTTGCGACGGCTTGGGCGCGAAGTCCGACAGCTGATAGGATGGGCCGTTGAGTATCAAGGACGCATGGAAGCGACCAAGCCCAATGAGGCTGATGGTAAGTAAAGTTGATTATCATTGTCAACTTCAGCTAACAAACAACCGATTGCTTCCAGCGCGTGTGATAGAGTGGAAGTCGATCCATAGTGGCCTTGAAAAACAAACCTGTCGTCTATGGAGGCAATGGGATCGAGGCTTAATTGAGGTTGTCCATACAACCAAGCAGTACGTAGAACGAAGTGCTGAAATTGATGGTGTATTGATACGCCAGTGGGAAGAAATGGTCGGTCGCACGGCTGGGACCTGGCAAGCAATTCTAGGGGTCCCAATATTTTGGGAAGAGGACGGCGATGAGGAGGCTGAAGAGGAGGAGATGGAATGGGAAGAGGCTGAATACAAGATGGAAATGGAATGGCAGAGAGAGTTTTATTGGTAAATAAATATTACATTCGATCAAGTTCAACTCTCAGACGTTTGGTTCCATTTATTTTTCTATTTGTAATTGCAATAGATGATCTTGTAGTGTTTGAAATTTGAATTTTTGTGGATATTGAACCTTTGATTACAAACAAGAAGAGATCCGCAGACATGCGTCACCAACAATCACCAATAGGCAACTTGCCTTTTCTTGTGGTGATCTGTGCAAACCAAAGGTGCTACAAGACAAATTTTTGCCCGTTCGCGTCTCGCGCTGGCGTTAAAACACATTTATTGGTGCTCTCTCTCTTTGTGATTTTGCTCAACCCTTGTATAAATGAAATACCAATGGTTCATTTGGTTCATTACCGAGATTGCATTTTGGATCGACATTACATGAGAATTATAAAGAAGATGAAATTTTGAAGAAACAACGACGAAATCTATTGTTAGTGAGATCGATTAATGAACTACATCAATCAGAAACCACAGTGGGCTCCTGAGGCACCTTTTTGTCCTTAGGGTTGCGGCGGGTGCGGGGCTTGCGATTGTTGAGAAAGTCTGCATGTAATTGGATAAGTGACTTCCAATCGTCCAACCAAATTGAAGCTTTGGCTGTTGCGAATCGTTGCCATGTGGGGCAAACGCGTGGGACGGGAAGTCGGTCCAGTGTAAAGTCCAGCAAGGCTGAGGCAAAGTGGAAATCGGCGTAAATAATGACAATGGGGGGGGTGAGATTGGGTGAAGTGTGGTAGGGGAAAAAGATCCTGTTATTAGATATGCCAGGTTCATAGTAAATAACTGGCCGATTGAAGGTGGTTGCTATGATTCCGCCCCACCCGGGCATAGTTAGCCAATACTTTTGCTCATGGATCACATTCTTCTTTGTTGTTGCCAGACGAGCTAAGGCCTCATCACGAGGCTCAGGCAAGGCCCGAGGGGTGAGTATGTTGGGCATAGTGATGATGGTTTCCTGCATACTCTGTCGTATGGCTAACCATTCGTCCTGCGATTGACCAAGAGAGACGGCAATTGCACGGAACCCACAGTGGCCGTCGGCCT